CAAGTGTGTCCATCCCCCAGATGGTGCACACCGCACGCATTAGGTGTGAATATACCCATCCCAGCCCTCCTGCCCAACACCAGATGAATGTTGTCACTATCTGTGCACCTAAGTGTTGATCAGTTAATACCAATTTGATGGTGAGTAAGCGTGGTGCTTGTTTTTCCATTCTTCTGATACTTCACTTAGTAGAATGGGTTCCAGCTCAATCCAGGAAAATACAAGAGTGCTAGATCACCATTGTTTTTTGTGGTTGAGTAGAACTCCATGGTGTACATACACCACATTTTATTAATCCACTCGTGTATTGATGGGCACTTGGGTTGTTTCCATATCTTTGCAATTGTGAATTGTGCTACTGTAAACATTCTAGTACAGGTGTCTTTTTTATACAATTTCTTTTGTTCCTTTGGGTAGATGCCCAGTACTGGGATTGCTGGATCAAATGTAGTCTTATTTGTATCTCTTTGAGGTATCTCCATATTGCTTTCCACAGAGGTTGCACTAGTTTGCAGTCCCACCAGCAGTGTATGAGTGTCCCTATCTCTCTGCATCCACACCAACACTTATTTTGGGGGGACTTTTGGATAAAGGCCATTCTCACTGGAGATAAATGATATTTCATTGTGGTTTTGATTTGCATTTCCCTGATGATTAGAGATGTTGCGCATTTTTTCATATGTTTGTTGGCCATTAGTCTGTCTTCTTTTGAAAATTTTCTGTTCATGTCCTTTGCCCACTTTTTAATGGGGTTGTTTATTTTCTTGCTGATTTTCCTGAGTTCTAAATAGATTCTAGTTATCATCCCTTTATCGGATATGGAAATGCAAATATTTTCTCCCATTCTGTAGGTTGTCTGTTTGCTCTTGTGATAGTTTCCTTGTCTGTGCACAAGCTTTCTAATTTGATCAGGTCCCATTTATTTATTTTTGTTGTTGCTGTGATTGCCTTTGGGGTCTTCATAAATTTTTCCCCTATAAGAGTTTTGCCAACATTTTCTTCTAGAATTCTTAGAGTTTCACGCCTTAGGTTTAATTAAGTCTGTCACCCACCGTGAGTTGATTTTTGCGAGAGGTAACAGGCGCGGATCCTGTTTCAGTCTTCTACATGTGGCTGTCCAGTTTTCCCAGCACTATTTATTAAGTAAGGATTCTTTTCCCCAGTGTATGTTTTTGTCTGCTCTGTCAAAAATCAGATGGCTACATGAGGATGGTTTATATCTGGGTTCTCAGTTCTGTTCCAGCGGTCAATGTCCCTGTTCTTGTGCCAGCACCTCAAATATTCCTTGTTGCTCTTAGAGCCAAGTCCCCAATTCTCACAGTCCCCTGCAACCCGCCTGGCCTGACTCCGCAGCCCCCTCAGACTCTGCCGTGCCTGCTGACAGGCCAGCCACACCAGCTGACCGTTGGTCTTCCAGCGTGCCGAGGCCTCTCCCACCCCAGGGCCTTTGCACTGGACATTCCTGTGTGGGTAGGATTCTCTTCCAGCCCAGATCTTTCCGTGCTCACCTCCTCTTCATCCTTTGGGGTTCACAACACTGTTCCCTTCTCACAGCCCTTCCCTGGCCATACCGCTTGACGCAGAACTGCTGCCATTATACGCTGCCACATCCCGTTTATGTCCCTTCCTGTGCTTGTACGTGTGCATTCCGTGTGTGTGGCCTGTGTCTCTGTTAGAATGCTGGTACCATGAGCACAGGGATTTTTCTTGTTTTGTGATCTGTGCCCAAGCCAGGCGCGTAGCTGCTCCTCAGCAATGATTTGCCGAATGCGTGACTGTTGAAAGGACAAACGGAGAATCAGGGCCCATTCAGGGTCCCTAGCACACACAGGCACTTTGCCGGCTGCCGAGCCCCACACGGCAGACGTCCCTGGGCTGGGGGAGCTCCCCTCGGTCGTGCTCGGTCTGCGTTTCTGAGAGTCCCGTGCTCGGCAGTGCCTCCCACTCACAGCGCACGGCCGGCGGAGCAAACCGCTCGAGTGACGCCCGCCGGCCGGAGCTGGGCGCCCTCCCGCGCCAGGCGGGGAGCTGACCGGCCCCCACGCCTGGCTCCAGAGGTGCGGCTTTCTGCCGCCCTGATGCGAACTGGAAGAGGATCGACAGGCCTTTAACAGGAAGCCAGGCATTTTATCTTTCGTGTGGACCGTTTCTGAGAGTGAAAAGGGCCAGAGCATTCAGTGAGCCAGCGAGTGAGCCCTTCTCATGAACACGTGTGTGTAGCACGCGAGTGAACCCTTCTCATGAGCACGTGTGTGTAGCCAGCGAGTGAACCCTTCTCATGAACACGTGTGTGTAGCACGTGAGTGAACCCTTCTCATGAACACGTGTGTGTAGCACGTGAGTGAACCCTTCTCATGAACACGTGTGTGTAGCAAGCGAGTGAACCCTTCTCATGAACACGTGTGTGTAGCAAGTGAGTGAACCCTTCTGATGAACACGTGTAGCATGTGAGTGAACCCTTCTCATGAACACGTGTGTGTAGCACGTGAGTGAACCCTTCTGAACACGTGTGTAGCATGTGAGTGAACCCTTCTCATGAACACGTGTGTGTAGCACATGGGCAGAGAGGCCATGCAGGGCGGGGTGTTGTCTGGTCCCATGATGCTCTTCACAGGTGCCAGATTCAACAGGGAAACACACCAGGGGCACAGCTTAACTTGTGGCAAAACCTAATCGACTCCTTATGCCTGCCTAGAAAGGCATGCTGGGAAGGCTGTTTCCAGGACGGGGATTGATTGGTGATGTCTGCCCTGGGGAAGAGGAGGGAGGTAGCTGCACGCGTGCCGCGTGTCTGCAACCCTAGGCCCAGTCCATCCGACAATCATTTTTGGCAT